GACCTCCATAATTTTTCGCGTGTGCAAGGGTCTTTAGACCAGTTTGGGAACTGCTGTGCTTAAAAAACGAATAGAAAGCGTTCCTAATCATCAGGTGAGCAGCCTCAGGCTGACTCCAGGACCCCTTTTATAAAACCTCTGCACGTTCACAGTTACCAAATTTGGAGGAGGCTAGTTTTGTTTTCTGGGGCTGACAGATCGAAAGTTTGTACCCATTTTCCAGGCCCAGGCAGGGTCCCTCCCATAGGGAGGCGGTGGGGACGACCCTCGCAGGGCGTTTGCGACCTTGGCAGACAGAGGTCGAGCCAGTGCGCGGGAAGAGCTCCGTAACCCCGGCTGGCCAGGGTTCCCGCCCGGAATCGGGGAGGCCGCGCGGGCCCGCAGGGCTGAGCACAGCCGAGTGGCGGGGTTCTGGGGATCTGCACTCACAGCCTTAGCAGCGCCGCCGCCGCCGCCGCCGACGCCGCTCCGCGCACCGCCCTCCGCAGCAGACGTAGCGCCATCTTCCCGACGCGCGCGCCCCGCCCCCGCCATGCCAGTCTCCACTTCGCTCCGCCTTGGGCCACGCCCCCAACGTCGCCACGCCTCACACGCTTTTCCTTCGCCCGCCCCTCTCACGTCCCGCGTCCCAGCTCTCCCCTGACACGCCCCCTTTTGTCCACGCACCTCCCTGTCCCTGCAAGCCACGCCCTCCCTGCTCTGTACACCTGCCCGGATGGGACTATCAGAACTGCCTGGCTGTCATGGGGAGGAGAGCAGAGGTTTCAAATGGAAAGCTCCTTCTTGAGCAGTTTTTCTGGTGACTGAATCCAACTCTCCTCGAGCCAGAAAAAAACACATTTTCTAGGGATTTGGTGTTTTTGTTGTTAAAATACTGCCTCACAAACTTTATGAGCATCACCATGTGCATGCCTTGGTTAACGGTTAATCCATTATAAGATATATATGCCTGTAATAGGATCAGAACAGCTGCTGACAGCTCTCTGAGCCAAAGAAATGCTTGCTGAAGTCATGGGTAGCAAACACAACTCTTCACTGCAATTCCTGCCGGTCTTTCAGCAAATACAGTCCCTGCAACTTCACAGTGAGAGACCGCTAAGTTATTAAAACAGAGTTTACTATCTGTGTGACTTTGGGCAAGTTACGTAAGCTCTGAGTTCTTCAGTTTCCTCTCCTATAAGATGGGACTATAAATAGTACTCCCCTCAATAGGGGAGTTATTATAGGGTTATTATAAGGATATATTGGGTTAACATATATATTATATATATATCTATATATATCTAGATAGATAGATATAGATAGATAGAGATACATATATATAAAATATATAAAGAGATTAAAACCTTGCCTGGCCCAGAGCAAGTCCTCAGTCGTGTTAATTACTTCTCATTATCATCATGGCATCAATTTTCTTCTTAAAACCCTTTGGTGGCTTCCAGTGAAAAGCATTTATTATAAAACCCAAATTCTTCACTACAACTCTGAATGCTTTACATGATCTGGTCTCTGCCTGTCTTTCCAATCCTATCTCAGACTCTGTCTTCTTTCCACATTTCTTTAAGTTCACTAAGCCTCCTCCCACTTCAGGGCCTTTGTATATGCTGTTCCCTATCCCCAGAATGCTCATGGCTACACTGTCTCATCTTCCAGGACATTTACCCTACCAGCCACCTGTGCAAAGGGGCCTGTGAGGATGACCCAAACTAGAGTATAACTCCCCCCGGCCCCGACGATTTCACTGCCAAAGCAATCTGATCATTTCCATCATGGAGTTCATCACAATGTTTATTTGTGTGTTTGTGAATTTACTTTCTTATTGTCACCTTATCCCCAGTGGGATAAATAATAGCTCTCAACATGGGAGGAAACTATCAATCAGGTAGACTTTTTGGGTGCATTATTATCATTTAGGGTGCAGGGCTAGGGATGTACAGGCAGTCCCACTAAGAAAGGCTGTTAGTGTTCTGGTTTAGAAACACCATCTTCAGGAATAGACTGAACTCTTTGAGAGCAGGGACCTAGTATATGTTGTCATTGCTGTGTGCTCCCTACACCTTCCTCAGTGACTTGTAACCAGTAGGTATGTAGTAAATATAAGATGAAAATGTTCCACCAGCCTCATTATAATTCTGAGAACTGTCTTATGAGTAGTTATCCTTATTAAGAATGCCCTGATCCTTAAGGCTTTTTAGGTAGAGCAGGACTTCCAATGACTTATTTGCTATAGAAGTTTATAGATTAAACTTCTTTCAGATTCTGCTTGAAGAAATTATAGCTGTGCCCAATCTCACCAGGACTGTTGTGATTTTCTCGAGCTTCTTCATGAGATTACAAACTTGTAGGTTTTAAGAACTGTTTTCTAATGCTGGTATGTTTTAAATAAAGTTTTATAAAACTTTATCTACATAGAATGTTGATTTCTGGAGGATGTATTTCCAGATCTAATAGATAAAAGGATCCAGAGTTTCTATTTTGAGGCTAATCAAATCTGTCTTTACTCGCAGTCCCCCAAACTGAAAGTAAAATAATGTATGTTTGCACCAAGGACATTACAAAACATAAAATTTATCAGGGTGAATAATTCTATGAGACCCATTACCCTGTTAAGTTAAGCAATCTGGTGGGGTAAGAACCTGGCAGAGATTCGAGAAAGAAGGATAGGAGCCAGAAATATCATGCCTCTGGTGAATAATAGATTTTGAATGGGTGGTGGTGGGTACTAGAAAAATCGCCCAACACTGAGAATTGTTGAAGCTTTGTGGGGTACACAGGGTGGGAGTGGGGTATATTATGTTTCCTCAACTTTGTGTGTGACATAAAATATTCTTAATAATATATTAGAAACAAAAATCAATTCAACTAATGCTTTGTATAGAAAGAGTCGGAAGCAAATTTACCCAGAGTCAATGATGATTAACTCTCAGGCCCCTTGACTTGCACTGGCTTCTTCCAAGTGACCACCAATCTGTTCACAAGGTCATTTGTTTCCATAAACTGTACAAAGGATGATATTTTAACTATCAATGGTGAAGTTACTTTTTCTGCCTACTCTGACTTTCCCTCTCTCAGACTTCCTTTGTGTTGGGTAGCATTGGAGTGGCTGTGGCATTTTGGGGGTCCAGAAAAGGAGAAGTTGAGCTGGGATATATTTGGTTTAGGTTTAGTAGAATATGTTTATGTGATTTGCAGTCACTTCCGTTTTCGGTTATTATTAGCAGTCCTGGTTTAGAACTGGATGTGCTGACACACTGTGCTGACTAACCTGCAGAAGGTACAGGTTAGTGGTCATATCTCAATAACAATGTGCCCCTAGGGCACCTGGCAGAGAAGTATGTGTCTAGTGGGAGAGAAACAAAATTTTCGAAATGTATGGAGCCAGAGACCATCTACAGGAAATTCTTCCAATTATTGGATATGTAAAATGACAGAAAGTTTGGTTCTTATCTATGTCTGGTCAACAGGGAAGCTCTCTCCTGTCTGGTATATACTCTAACAGCATTGTAGCGGCTTTCGTATTGTTGACCCAGCTCAGCTGGAACCCCTTTTCCAAGAATTTCTTTGCCTGTGTGGGTCCAAATTGGAGTTATTCACAACAAACATTTGCATAAGGTCTGGAAGGTGGTGAAGCAGCAGGTTGGCCTGGGGAGTTAGGCACTGTGGTCGTGTACGCATGCCTCTTAATCTGTGGGCTCACCCTGTTGGCACGGGGCAGTTGGTGTTAACTTCCTTTTGAAATCGTTTACAGATTCCTTTACTTTACATTCATATCCACCCATTTTCTTTTTAACTCAAACAGACTTAAAACTTTATTGAAATGATTCCTGACCTCGAGAAGCTAATTGAATGAATTCTGTCACACGCTACGACATGGATGTACAGCCTTGAGAACATCATGTTAAGTGAAATAAGCCTAGTACGTGCACACACACACACAAACTAGATGATTCCATTTATTTGAATTTCCTAGAGACAGAAGTAGAATAGGGGTTACCAGGGGCTGAAAAGAGGGGTAGATGGTGAGATATTATTTAATAGGTACAGAGTTTCAATCCAAGATGAAAAAGTTCTGGAGATGGATGGTGTGATGGTTGTACAACAATGTGAATGTACTTAATGCAATTAAACTGTAAATTTTACATGTTTAAAATAGTCAATTTGATGTTACATATATTCTATCACAATAAAAAAAAGATTTTAAAAAGAAGCTATCAGTCTAGTGAAAGAGGCAGACAGGTAAATAGGAAAAACAGGTGTTTTCTGAGGTCTGCTGGTGATATGGGGAAAGAGGATATAGAAGGAGAAAAGGATGCTGCAATGTCCTCTGCGTAAGTGGGGCAGGAAAACCGGGCGGCTTTGCCAAGAAGGGGACAGCCACCTAGGATGTCGGGAGTGAGTCTGAAAATGTCAGGGACAGAGTAGAGCAAGCAGAGAGAATACAGCAGCTGAAAGGGACTGTCTGGGGCTAGACTATAAATCATCCAAATGCTCAAGTCTCAACCACGATGCCCTAAAAAACACAGGTTTGAATAGAAATGTGTTACATTGTTACCACTTGGTCTTAAAATTATCATGAAACCCAAAAAACTCTCACTGTTAATCTTAGAAATACAATATTGGCTTAACTGCACTTTTGGGAAATAGTCACATCCAAGGAAATATTGGATAAAAATGTAGTTTCTCGTATCCTTTTAAAGCTTAACTTAAATAATTTAAAGCTTAAATAACTTAAGTAACCATTTAAAGCAGTAACAATTAGGAAAATGAAGCTGCATTATTCTTTTGTTATAAACACCAAAGGCTCTTTATCATAATCTATTTTTCACTTCCTTTTGGTGTCTGGCCAATGTAGGTTATTTTCACCAAAGTTGAATCTCAAAGACTGATGGGCCAGAGTCACTGATTTAAGACTTCAGAATGCTACACTTAGAAAGAGGCATATTAGAAGTTCTGCGGAACGATTTTTCAACAGTGTCATACATAGAACTACACTCTGAAATCATCCAGCCCTCCTGCTGCTCTAATACAAAACCCTCCCAGCCTCTCCTACTGGCAGGAGCTGCCTTTGATAACCTGACGACTATGTCTGGCCTTCTTGGGGAGAGAGGAGGAGACTGTCTCTCAAATTTAGGCCAAATGCAGAATAACTAGTGGCCACATTGTGGACCTGAGCCTGAGCTTTTCTCAAAACTGAAGAAGTTATATTAACTGACCTCTAAAATTCCTTCAGGTTATCAAAAACTGCGTAACTAGCTAGCATCCTTATGAGCTCAGACTCCCACACTGTGCTACAGCGCCCCCTAGTGTCTGCAGGCAGAGGGTCCCCCCTCCCCACCCCACACACACTCGCTGCCCTTCCGACCCCTCCCACTGACCATCCTTTTTTCCATAGCGCTTATCCACTCCTAAATTACAATAACAGGCTTGTGGTGTCTTTGTTGAATATAAGCCCCGTGAGGGTAGGGATTTTTGCTCGTTTTGTTCACTAATATATCCCAAGCGCCTGGAACCGTGC